ACACACACACACACACACACACACACACACACACACACACACACACACACACCATCAACCCTGCTCGTGTGACTCAGACCAATCAGAGCCTTTATTCCATCCAGATGAATACAGGAGGACTTGCCATGCTCTGAAATTGAGGCCGAGCGAGCAGCGGAGGAGAGGAAAGCTGGCAAGGACCCAGGGGTTGTGTATTTTACATACAGTGTTGCCTGCAGCCTCAGATCCATGGTCCAGTGTGTGGGATGCACATAGCAGTGGGGTGAGGGGCATTTTGGGTCGATGCGAAGGACCTGGCAGGCTTTAACGGGGAAGCATACAGACCAGTGTCTAGCTCTGTGTTCCGCCGCCGCCCACGTGACAGAGCAGAAGGGCTCCTGCCATGGGGGGGGGCCGTCTGAAGCAGCTGGTATTATCTCCCTAATCTGCTTTGAGGTGAAATAGCCATCACTGAGCGTGGTAGGTAATTCTGCACTGAGGGCGCCTGGCTCACAAGCGGAGAGCGTTTCTCTCTCTGTCCGCCTGCAATGCGATAACCTTTCAACTGGTCAATTCCAAAATGTCAGGGAAGGTTGTAGGCACCAGTGGGCAGAACCCTATTGATCTGGGTGAATATGAAAGAACTGAAAGGAGCCCCTGATGTGGGGAGAATTGGGGGGGGCACTCAGAGTCCTGGTATGGGAAGAGGGGGTTGGAGGGAGGCCCTGAAATAGGAAGGGATGGGAGGGAGGCACACAGGGAGCTTGTGGGGGAGGATGGAGGGAGGCAAGGAGCCCCAGGTTCAGTGAGCTTCGCTGACAGCAGCGACAAGGTGTGTGATTCCCTAGTGTAAAGACGGATGGGAGGAGCCTGGGTTGAGAGTGCTGTGCAGATGGGGATAGTTAGAGGGGTGTGGATGTGGTGGCGGGGTGGGGGCTGCACGTTGCAGTTTGATCTGTTAATGCTTAGAACGCACTGAGTCCCGTCAATCATCAGACCCTTCCCGCCCACCCCCAAGGAGGGAGGCCTTTCTCCGTCACCAGAAGAGCCCACTCTTACAGCTCCACAACTCCCTTCCCCAAAGAGCAGCTCTGTGGCCTCCGATCCCTCCTCCCCCTGCACTGCTCATTCTGTGCTATTGCCTGGGCCAGCTGGACCCTCGCAGCTCATGTCAGGATTCCTGGGGGGACCCCACCAGGGGTGAGGTGGGAAAAGTGGGTCTCACCTTTTGGCAGCCGGGAACTCCCCCTACTTCCTGGCACAGCAGCTCCCTTTCCACGGTGCCCACTCAGAGTGGAAATTAGCCCGTTCCCATGCCACACATGTCTAATAAGTAGCTGTTTGTCTAAGCGCTCTCCCCGGAACCCGTTGGATACAGATCCTGGGCGTATTGCATGATATGCTTACGTTGCTGCCCAACACGCTGCTTTGCCGCTCTTGGCTCCCTGCTTAACGGCGCGTGTCCAGAGAGGCTAAAGCTGGGGAAATAACTGTAATGCTAATTCTCACCTCTATAGCTTGCTAATTATTATGCCTTAAACCCAGGAATGAAAGGGAAAACCTGGGCCGTACTTTGCCTTATTGCTGGTATTGGCTATAGAGGCCTGAGCCAGGCATGGGCACTGCCCAAAGAGCTTGTGGTCCAGAGTTCTGATCCTGTGCGGCTGTGTCCATGCGGAGCACTGCCGACTCTAACAGTTCACCCATGCAATGTCAGTTGTGGGAGGGAAGCTGCAAGAGAACAGGCAGCTGACGCTGGGGACGGGTGAGGCAGGATGGGAGGATGTTGTAACATAGTTTGCTTGTAGCCAGCTTGTTTCTCTGTATCTGTAAGTGCTGTGGGTGATACAAACGCTTGGGGGGGGGGCGTAATCTGTGTGTCTGGCCCTTATGGGGGTCTAGGTCAGCGTGGGGAAGGCAGCAGGTTAGCTTGAGTGTAACACAAAGGTTTTTTCACGTGCAGCCCAGCAGGGACAGAGCACACCTACCTTCCCGACACACCATGGCCACCCTCATATGGGTCAGGGTCATCCCTGACACGTCTCTGCCCTGTCCCCCTCGCCAGCGCGTCACCTGACTCACAGTCCCCCTGAACTGCGCGGTGTGAGCCCTTGGTCTTGGCTCTCGCCAGATCCTGCCTGTTGCAGGCACGTGCCCAGGGCCAGAGTCTGTTTATAGATTCCTAGAGGGTAAAGCCGGGAAGGGAGCGTTGTGATGACCGAGTCTGACCTCTGGCATAAGCAAGGCCGGAGCGCTCCACCCCGGTGCATCCTGCACCACGCCCACAACTTGTGGTTGAGCTAGAGCAGCTCTTTTAGGCCATGTCTACACTAGAGAGCTTACAGCGGCACAGTTGTACTGATGCAGCTGCACCGCTGTAAGATCGCTCGTGTAGCTGCTCTGTGCCGAAGGGAGAGAGTTCTCCCACCGACACAGCACTGTGCACACACCGGTGCCTCTGTCGGTGTAACGTGTGTCACTCGGGTGGTTTTTTTCACACCCCTGAGTGATGTAAGTTATACCTACAAAAGTGGTCGTGTAGACATGGCCTTAGAAAGACTTCACGAGACTGAGATCACGTCCCTAGGTAAGCTGTTCCTATGATCGATGGCCTCACCGTTAGCAGTGTACACCTTACGTCTAGTCTGATGCCTTATTGGGCAACGTAGACAGCCCATTCCATGTCCCGGGAATGAGATTTCCAAAGGGGAGTCGTGATTTTGGCTGGCCTCAATGTTCGGTGCCAAACTTTAGGCATCTTAGAGGGGCCCGTCTTCCGGGGAGGGTTGCGCTCTCGGCCCTCAAAAATCAAGCCTCTTTCAGGTGCGTCAAGCTGGGTGTCTGGAATCAGTAGCCATTTGGCCCCTGATTGTAACCTGACCTCCCAAAGTCCACCGACTATTGACGTGTCGGTAAATTACTTGTCAACTACACTTAGTGGCTGCTTGGGGCGTGGTGGAATGGGGAGGCCGTGGCTTTGTTGTTCCTCTGCCTGTGTGTTGTCTGCTGGGCTTCTTTATTTCAGCGTCCGCGCCGGATGTTTAAGCCCCCGCTAATCCTAGAACCCGGCGCATCTGCACCACGGAGTCCTGCAAAGCAGATTGCCTCTGCCAACTCCTTTGTTTAGCCAGGAACGGGCAGTGGGGGGTAGGGACAGGGAGTGCTTGTTTCAAGTCAAACAAGGCAATATTGCGGTTTCGCTATCTGTATCCATCTCCCTTGTGGTTAGAAGCCTCTTAGCTTTACTGTCCTTTTTACCTTACACACCCTTTTCCCAAAGAGGGCAGGGCTGGCCTTTCACTGGTGGCTTAATTGCGCTTTGATGGGTGTCCGTCTCCGGGACACAGGCCAGCTCGTAGGCTCTCTTTCGGTGGTCGGGCTGGGGGGAGCCTTTCGGAAGTTGTAACTTTCTGGCTCGGGAAGGAAGTCTGTTTTCCTCCGAGTTCCCATTCCCTGGGGCTGTAGCTGGCAGCATCCGAGCCAGCAGTTACTGTTCCCACCCACACTGAGCTCAAACATGTGAACTGCAACATCTGCCAAACCCCGCATATGTTTCGAGTTTATGGAGGCAGGAGCTTGGCCGCTCTCTCTAGCTGAAGCAATAAGACTTGGAGATGGAGCCGTACCCTAGAAATGAACCTTTGAAAGCAACGTCTGTTACCTTCTTCGGTCAGTGCTGTAAAGTTACCCCGGCGGGGAAGGCTCCCTTACGGCTTAACTTACTAAGAAACTCGGGATCCCCCTTGTTAGCTGTGTGTGGCTTTTACTGCTAAACGTTTACAGCAGCTTACCCAAGGATCTCCGAGCATGTGAATACGAGCCGCACAGTCCCACCCCTGCGAGGCTAGAAATAATCATAGCTAGCTCTGACCCAGCCCTTCTCTGGAGTAGATCTCCAGGCGCTTTACAAAGGAGCTCAGTATCATTATCCCCGTTTTACAGATGGGGAAACTGAGTCACGGAGGTGACTTTCCCAAAGTCACCCAGCAGGTCAGGGGCAGAGCTAGGAATAGAACCCAGTTCGTCTGAGTCCCAGTCCTGTGCTCTGTCCACTAGGTCATACGGTCTAGTAGTAATCCATAGCAATGTGTCCGTCGTACAGCTGAGCAAACCGAGTCTCAGAGAGAGGTGAAGCATCTCCGATGGGAACAGCCCAGTTCTCCAGATCATGGGGCTCCTTCTGTTGTACGGAGGATGCTGTGCTTTAGAAATACAGCCCTGGGGAGATTGGAGATTGGGGGAAGCTTCAAGTGCCTTCCTCTCCCAGGGTTGGTTTGTAAGCTTCTGACTTTATGTATCTATCGCTAACCGCTCTCCCTCCCCTTCCCCCACCTGCCCTTCCATTAGGACTGGCCCTTTGATGACGGCGCTCCTCCTCCCAGCAAAATAGTGGAAGACTGGCTCAACTTGCTGAAAACAAAATTCTGCGAAGACCCTGGCTGCTGCGTGGCTGTTCATTGTGTGGCTGGCCTGGGCCGGTAAGTGAGGGCTCGAAAGGAGCTAGGAGCTGCCCTGGAGGTAGGTCTCAGAGGAAGGACAGCTAGATTTAAATATCTTGTTAAAGGGAGACATCTCCTGTTGCAAGTAACTACTAAGTCCCCTGGAGCTTCTGAGCTGCAGGGAAGGTAAATGCTCCCTCTTTCCAGCTCTTCCTTTGTGCGGTTGGCAGGGCTGTTCCTGTCGTCAGGCTGTGCTTAGAGTGGGACTCACCTTGGCCTCTGTATTGTCGGGGCCCCTTCTTGTTTGGGGAAGGGTCTTCCATGCAGCCACACAGGAAGGGGCGGGGGGAAATCTTTTAACAAGAAAATGGGATTGTAAAAGTTCTGACGCTGGTAGGAGAAGCCAGGCCAGGTTGGAGAGACGAGATGGGGGAGGTCAAATCTTTTATTGGACCAACTTCTGTTGGGGAAAGAGACGAACCTTCGAACGACTCAAGCGTGAAAGTTTGTCTCTTTCCCCAACAGAAGTTGAGCCAATAAAAGATCTGACCTCCCCCATCCTGTCTCACTAATATCCCGGGACCGACACGGCTACAACACTGCACGCAACAATGGAAGAGATCTTAATTTCTTAGGGTTTTTTTTAAACACCCTGGATTTCAACTCGACAGCCTCTCTCTTTAAGGGGGGAGGTGTGATCCAGAGAGCGTCCCTAGGGAGCAGCTGGGCCTCACCCTTGTCCTCAGTGCAAGTTACCTAAAGCAGCTGTGGCCAGGCCGAGCAGGGTGGGTGGGGGTGTTAATGAGCAGTCCTTAGCTGAAGCAGATTGGGATCCTGATTCAGCAAACCACTGAGGTACATCCCATTGAAGTCCGTGGGATTTAAACTTGTGCTGAAGCACGGGGGGGGCAGACTGGATAGTGGAGATGGGGGGAAGGGGTGGGACACTTCTGAGCTCGCCTACGAATCACCATGATGAGAGATCGCTCACTGCTGCTGGGCTCTTTGAGCTTGGCTTCCCCTCAGCGGGACGTGACCATACCCATGGGCTCTGCCTGGCTTCTCAGTTTGGGTGGCTAAATAAATACAACGGTGGCAGCTCCCAGCTGTCACCCACTTGGCTTTAACGGGAATTGGGCATTTGAATCCGTGAGGTGGCTTTGAAGATCACAGCCCAACACCCCATGGTCTGACCGGGTAGAGTGCATAACCGCTGTTCTTTTTGCTCACTCAGTTGCTTATTAAAGCCCTTTCAGGTACCTGGGGAAGGAAAGGCAAGCACAACATAAATCCTCTATCCTTCACATACTGGAGTGTCACAACGACGTAGGTTGTATTAAGGTCTGTCATGTAAATGTGGCTTGTAAAATCTCCCCCCCCGTTAAAACTAGAAGCCACTTTTCAGACACTTAGTAGCTAGTCCACTTCGCTCTGGTTTGGTTTTTGTTTGGTTTTTTCCTTTATTAATCTACTTGCAAATCATTTGCCAAATTCCTCTGAAATCAAAGCTGCGTTTTATAGGGAGAGCAGTAGACAGCCGTAAGCTCTGTCCTCTCTTTATTTTAGCCTCCTCGCTTTAAAAGGAGTATCGTTTCTATAGCCTTGGGTACGCTGCGCCTCAGACCTCCAGTCGCGAGTTAATTTTTTGGCCAAATGACAAGGCCTGAAAACCAGAGTTTATATGGTGGGAAATGGCAGTGAACACACCGTTATAACAGTGCTGCTGGGGCTTGCTCTGGGAACCTATTGTAGGAGAAGCTGGATGCAAGAGTGTCTGTGTCTGTGTGATTTCTGTGTGCTGTATAACCTGAGCCGCTGTTGATTTTGTGTGTGCGTTCGTGGTGCTGTGGGTTTAGCGTGGGGGGATTGTTGATGTGATTACAGTAGGTTTGGAAAGAGTCCATGAGTTTGGGGGCGTTTTTTTTTTTGTTAAAGACTCTTATCGCTGCTGGCATTTCTTTAATTCAAGCAGGAAGTGACTCCTCTCTCCATCACTTTCCAGAGCTCCTGTTCTCGTAGCCCTGGCTCTCATCGAGAGCGGGATGAAGTATGAAGACGCCATTCAATTCATCAGACAGTAAGTGGCCTGTGATAAACCCCTCCACCGTGTGCCAAGCAGCAAATGGACAGCGTAAAATATCCCGAGTGACACGGTGCTCTTGCTGCTGGCACGCCCCGGGAATAAATCGCTGGTGCTTACGAGAGGGGCAAGTCCTGTTTCAGAGCCGGGCCGGGACAGCATGAACTTGTGAACTCCTCTGGGCAGTTGGGTGGAAGCAGGGTGAAATAACCTTCAGATACGTGCTTTATCCTCCCCCAAACTGACAGGAGATGGAGAAAACGAGTCTCACGCGCCTGTTGGCTGCCCAGAGAGAGGGTTGTTTGCTTTCCCCCCTGGCTGCCCTGTGCTCCATGGGTCTAGCTGTCTGTCGGGAGTCAGTGTGTGTAAATCGATAGCCAGAGCTGAGCAGACCAAGCCCACTTTTTTTGCTGCTCATCATCAGTTGCTGTTTCCCCAGCTATGTTGGTGGTTGTGGGCCAGAGGAATCAGGGAATAATTAGTCTGCTAAACTCCTAGTGACCTATTAATGCCGACTTCATTCTGGAGTCCTGAGCAGTTCATTAGCAGAGCTAGGATCCCCCAGGCAAAGAGCTGAGCCTTCAGCTCTGCTGCATTGACAGCTACTCGGGAAATGAAACAAAGATTGCAGAGGTCTTGGGCCGTGAAATAACTAAATGCTAAAAAGAAGGAAGGAAGGAGACGAGTGGAAAAGTTGATTTCTAGACCAACAATCATCTTAATCAGAAGGCAGGCGCAGAAAGCAGCGAGTGACATGCACGGTGTGTGTGTCAGAAGTTGACCAAACTCGCACGTGCTGTGACTGGTTGATTGGTTGGGTTTTTTCATGACAGAGGTGTCTATTTTGCCAGTTTGCAGTTCCGGGGAAGGGGCAGTGGGGAGGGCTGTACAGATCTCTGGCGTTCTTGGATGCTGGGAACTCCACTGGAAGAACTCTTGACCATTCTGTTGGTCATAACTCAGCCTAGGCTATAATAGACATCCTTTCTCATAGCTGATACTTGCTGTTAGCCACCGTTTCTATATTCTTCTACAATCCCAATCTAGTCTTCATAATATATTCTGCGCCATGCCCTGCAGCTCCCATTTAGGACTGCAAATATGGGGATTATTCTCTTTCTCCTTTCTCTGACACCAGCTATGACTGCAGGAGGGTTTTCCGTGAATACCAAGTACATCAATCTCTGTCTATGGTCTGATCCCCAGTTCCTGCCCCAGATGATGAGTCCCACTCCGCTATTTCTGCTCAGGCTCCTCCTTCGGGCGCACTCCATTTTCATTGGAAAGGTTTCGTTGTGTGTGTAGAACAAACAGAGCAATTCAAAATGGGAGGAGTAAATCGGGGACTAGGAATAGAAGAGTCAGTTAGCGGAGCCAGCCTAGCCGCACGTTCTCCAGAGTCTGTTATCGATATTAGTCCAGTTTTAAATGCCCCAGAGCCACGAGGTTACCACCATTTCCCTGTGAGAGGCTAATCCAGAGCCTAATAGATCTCCCTGCTAGGGCACTGTTCAGCCTACATTTCCCTCTGCTTAACATCAGTCTGCAGGAGTTTGCGCCATCCCGTATTTCTTGACTCCCCAGGTAACAGGGTTAGACACACAGGCCTCCTGCTGTCAAAGCTGGATTTGCTGCATAGCTGAGTGCGAGAGGGAGGACAGGGGAGAAATGCAGCTTGTAGGAACTAGCCCTCTGACTTCACTAATTGAGCAGCGACCTCTCTGGCTTCGAACTCCCAGGCTGTGAGGTGCGTGATATTTCCCCCAGAGCCTCTACAGCCACTTGCTGGCCATGGGCCCTGTTAGTCTTCCGGGGTTCTGCTGCGTGGACCCTGAGAGATGAGTGCCGGGGTGCAGGGCTGGTTCTGGGACGCTCCCCGGCCCGGGAGCACTCATGGCTTTCTCTTTGTGTTCCAGGAAGCGCAGAGGAGCCATCAACAGCAAGCAGCTAATGTACCTGGAAAAATACCGGCCAAAGCAGAGACTCCGATTCAAGGACCCTCACAACCACAAGAACAAATGCTGCATCATGTAACCTCAGCAACCTCTTGCCAAAACACACGCACAGACACACACACGGAGGCACGCAGGGTCGGACGGTGGAGTTGCGGGGAGCTTGGACAAAGTGGCACTGACCTTTCCTTGTAAATGGGGCACTCTCTCGTTAAAGAATCTCTGCACCCCTGGCCAGCTAAGGTCAGGAGAGAAGATGGTTAGGCATCTCACTCCTGGTTTTAATGGACAAAGAATTAGCCCCTCATTCCTCCCACCCCACCAAATCTCCCATCCCCCTCCTCACCCTTTCCCCAGCTGCAGGCGGAGCTTGAGTTGATCTGAATTCTTTGCATTGAACCCAACTGCAGGAAGAGATCTGTCCAGGCTGCGCTGCCCCGGGGGTGGGTTGTGGGAGGGGAAGATGCAGAGAATTTGTCTGCTGCCTGGCGTGTAACAGCCACAGTCTGGCGCTGTATCAAATACGTGTTGGGCCAGTCCCTTCCACTGTTTGCGCTGGATTGGGGGTTAGGATGTGCTCTGAGGTTGGGTTTCCCCACTGGTCACGGACATTCTTCCCCCTCCCTTCTCTCTGTGCTGCTCTTCATTAGAGCAGCAATGTTACATGTCCCAGTGGGGCACATAGGATCAAGGGCAAGGGGCTTGTTTTAGTTCCCTAAAGGGCTTCAGTAGAGTTGGCTCCAGTCAGTCACTGGGGGCAGGGTGTTGTTGAGGGAGGAGACGGCGCTGTACATACACTGCTCCCTGACTGAATTCCAGCCCTGCACCGAACATCCCCCGTGTGTCCCGCGGGAACGTCACTCTCCAACAGAGAACTCGGTTCATTCAGATTTCAAGGGCTTTCTTCCCCCTCCCAGCTACCTCTCTCCTTTGCCTGAAAAGAACCTGGCCCTAGAGTTCCTTTTCTCCTTCTGAAATCAAATGGTCGTCTTTGGGAGTGGGTTGTACACTGGGGCGAGGGGGGTGGGGTGGGAATGGAAGGGGAGCGCGTTGCTAGGGCCAGTAAAGGGTCTTCTGGCTGGGAGGAAAGGGGCTTAGGTGTGGACGCTAGCCAGGTGTTAGATAGATGCATCCCAGAGCATATTCACAACCTCCAAATAGAGACTCCGGGCCTGGGTTGGTGCTGGGGCTGACAGGGAGGGAGAAGGGGCAGCCAGACAATTTGCTGTCACAGAGGCGAAGCGTGCGAGGGAATTGGGAGTTTGTGACGTTTCAGTCTCATTCTTGGATCGTAGGAGTTTCCTATCTGGCTCAGTGTTAGTGTAACTAGCCAGGATCTGCTTGTTTCACCTTGAAAGCCGCTGGCTGGCTGGAAGACTGAGCAGCTTCCTACACCAAGTGAACCCTGGGGGAGCACCAGGGGGCGGGTGGTGATATTTCTCTTGAAATTTGTCATCTTTTCCCTTCGGACTGGGTCTGATCTTCCCCGTGGCACAGCGTCTGCTGCAGCAGCTTCCCGTTCAGGTAGCCAGCCCTCCGCGGTGCTCTGCAGTGACATCCACCTTTGGCCATGACCCGTGGCTGGGGCTAGATACCACTGCCCTCGGGGAAATATCATTGATGTTGGGTTCTCTCCAGATGGCTGCAGCTGTAACCCTGGGCTCCCCTGGTGTGTTGGGGAAAGGGCTGAGATCTTCTCCCTTGGTACACATGGCCCAGGAGAGGGGAGCACCTCGGTTACAGGAGGAGGCCAGTCCAGCGAAGCGGTGACTCCAGGAGAACTCTGCTTAGGCAGAGATGCCCAACTTTGTAGGGGGACCGGGGATTGGGCGCTACTATTCTGTCTTACCCCTTCCTCCTTTCTAAGGAATCGAGGAGAGAACGAATGGCAGGTCTCCTCTTGGACTTCAGGTGTCAGCCATGTGTCCTTTCCCTAGAGCACTGCCCACGTGTGTCCTGTCACCTCTGACCTCTTTATTAAATGCACAAGCTTTACAAAATGGGAAGACGACGTTTAATGTGTTGCTTGTCTGATGATGAGAATGGGTGCTGCCGAGGGCAGCTTTTTGCTCGGATGCCGCCGCCGAGGGCTGGCGGGCAGAGCGCACGGCAAGTGCCCACAATCCCAGCTCCATCATACACTTCCCCTGTGGCTTGTGCACATCACATCACTTGTGTGTGTGTGTGTGTCCGTGTCCCGAAAGAAGAGATGAGAGGGGCTGGGAGGATGGATGCAAAGCGCCGAGCGGCCATCGAGTGTTAGCGGAGGGCTACTTGGGGGTGTCCTCCAGGAAGCTTCCCCTGCTAATCTGTGTGAAAGCCACCAGGGTTCTAGGTTTGGAGAGGGGCTAGGAAGGGCCAGTCTCTTGCATGCAGGTCCTGTAGCGGGGAAGGATTAAGAAACTCTTCCTCCAAATCCTGCGTCCATTTCTAAGGGCTCTGCTACCCCGTGTGCAGAGGGGAGCTTGCGCCTGAAGAAAGGGGAGATTCCATGTGGGCAGCCTGCTCTGTTTGGAAGGGGCAGGCGAGATGGACGCATCCAAACAGATGCCACTTGCTTCTGCCCCTGGGCTCGGGGAGTGCAGTGCTCCCCTGTGGGCATGGGGAGGGAGACCAGCTTGGAAACCCCCGGGAGTTTTCCTTTCTCTATATGGCTCCCTTCTGTATCGGGGAGAATAGGGCCCCGCGTTGCTTCACCGATCCATGCCATTGCTCCTCCCTGTGGCTGTGCATTTCTCCGAGCCCAGAAAGGAGCCAGGCTCAGAAATCGCCCACTGCCGGCTTGCTCTTCCCTACCCCCCAGCCGATTGGGGAGCGGGGTCTCTAAAGGGATTTCAGTGACACTTCTCAGAGAGGCAGCCCCAGGGAAGGGGTTTTCCCTCCTTCCCAGTCCCCTGGCTGTTCCAGGTTCTGCCATGAGCCGGCCAGCCCCCCAATATCCAGGAACTGGCGATTGTTTAAAACGGGGGGCGGAGGGGGAGCAGCCACCTTCCCTTGTGGCAGATGAATCTGCAGTGCAAGGAGTGTTTGTGGGGGAGGGAGATGCAGGAACACCATCCACAGGATCGCTGGCTCGCTGCTGCACCCGCTCTCTTGTGGGGCTCCGGTGAACCTAGCGATGGGGAGTTCTCCACCCCGCAGCTGTCCTGAGTCGCTATCTGAGCATGCCCAAGCACTGCCAAGGATAATTTGCACTGCCCGCGGATGCTCCCTGTTGTTTAAGGCCATGTGACATGGAAGATGGCCGATTTCTGCCCTCCCCGCTGTGCGGTGGAGAATGGAACGTGCTGGCCCGGTGTGAGCGCGGCTTCAGCGGTGCTGCGCCAGCTCCACCCTTCTGCATGGGTCTGTCTGAGAGGAGAGGTCCTGCCTCTTCCACTGGCCCCTCTAATGTTGGGGGCAGGCTTGGGGGTAAATGGATGAATTGCCCTCCCCCCGCCCTGTGCACTGCTGTATGCTTCCCAGTTTGTCAGCGCTATCGGCTTTGACCTCGGCTGGGTCCCAGCTCAGGATCTCTGCAAGCAGGCGCCTCCTTGTCGGGCATTCGAAGCGTGGGTGGGCTCAGCAGTTCATCTTCCCCAGCCCACTACCTCTACTGCAGCCAGCAGTAAAGATGGCGCCCTCCAGTCTAGAAAGAGACACTGATGCCAGAAGAACTCCAAGCAAAACAGCCTGCAAGGTCACGCGTGCCCTGGGCGGAGTCAGGGCCTGGCTTCGGCTTTGGAGTCTGCCTTGACGTGCTCCACGCCAGAGCAACCCATCGACCCTGCACACACCCTCCCCCAAGTGAAATCCTTAATGCAGGCAGGCTGGAGCATGGGTGTGTGTAAACACATGGCGACAATTACATCATAAACACCGCTGGGCATGCTTATGGGGCGGCTGTCCAGTGGCAGAACTGACGTATTTAAACACCCACCACAATATGCTTTTTAAAAATGTGTTTTCTTCTTGCAAGGGCAGGAATTAACAGATGAAAAATGGAACATATTTGCCTTCCACAAATCCTCCGGCCTTTCTTCTCTCATCAGCTCCATTTCCAAGCACCGCAGGGCACTGCAGCTCGTCTGTCGAGGAACAGGGGCTGGACGTCCCCGCCAAGGGAAAGAAGAATATAAATTTCCCTCCTCCTGAGCAGAACACACGGAAATGATGAGAGATGATCCACACCCCAGTGCAAAACCTTCCTTCCGGGGAAGTCAACCCAAGTTGTTCATGCTTATTGCATCCCGAATTGGAAATGTAGCCCGCTCACCCGCCGTGCTGGTCAAGCACAAAGCCATGAATGGAAAGGACTCGGCCCCTCGGCATCATTTGTGATTGTAACTCGTCGTCGTAGCATCTTCCGTTAATATCCCCTGGGGATCATGAATGGGAATTACAAATGCTGATTTCATCTGCTCCTGGTCAATAACAGAGACATGGGACAGAACCTATTTGCGTGGATGGGCCCAGATGATCAACAATGCCTGCTGACTTTGAGAGCCTCCATTTTTGGGATGCCCAACCTGAGCTGCCTTAAAGGGGCCTTGACTTTCCAGTCTCAAATTCTGGGCCCCTAAAAATAGACAGTCGCCAGCCACTCCTGCAAAGCTGTGCCCTGCAGCTTCACCTCTGATCTCGTAAAGAAGGCTGTATAGATTCTTCAGGCATCTGCAAAGGAACCAGTGTAGGTGTAATGACTCCATGCTGCGTGACTTCTTCGGAAACCGTCTCTAGTGCTGCCTCTCATCTACCCCAAACGCCACCCTGTCACAGAATGCTCACGCTGAGGCCAAGCCCAGGGGGTTGGTTAGTAGCGTTATTCCTCCGGCTGGTACTGTGCACTGCTGGGAGACCATGATGACCTCAGCTGTGCACCACACTGACCAGTGCCCCAGAGCAGCGCTGTGTTTCTGTGCCAGCAGCTCGTCTCTGATCCGCCTCCGGATCTTGGCAGGCATCTCCCACAAGGTCACTGCCTTTAGATGGAAGTGAGATGACACTGAGGTACTGTCTGTCTAGATAGCATAGAGAAGGAGCTCTCTCACCAGCCCTGTCTTTGATTTGCTGCCAGTATCCTTCATGCTAGGGGATACAGTCTCCACACAAAGGAGCTCCTTAAATTCGCATGGCGACATCCATGGTGGTTCTCCCAAGATTTCAGAGTCCAAGGCACAGAAATCCCCATCTTGGTTTAACCTGACATTAGCAGGTGCTCTACAAATCCGCCTGGGCTAGGAGGGAGTAGTGTGTTGCTGAGTCTCGGAGAGGTTAGAGATGGGACAGACCTGCTGCAGCAGTAGCCCGGAGGGGATTAAGTTTGGTGTTTAACTGATCCAGATTGGATGCTCCGTTTCTCTCTGGTTTACTCCTGTAGCATTTATTTGCAGGCGTTCCCAGTGGCGACAGCATCTTTTGTGGATTTGCACTGTGATTGTAGGTTCTCCTAACTTCTGCACCATGTCCTAGGAGTACATGCGTCTCCATCCAGCCCTTCCCCTGCTCTCTCTGGAATGCCCACCCAGCTCCCATGAACTCCCTTTGCGTTTCTCCTCCAGTCCACTTCACTACCATGTTTCACCTGGGCAAGAAGCCAGCAAGATAGGGGACTGGAGGGGACGGGACTGGAGGAGAAGGGTGTCAATCACAAACTGCTGTTGCAGTCAGTGGCAGCAGGATCGTGCCCTACCCATGGAGCCCTTGGCAGGGTTGGGACAGGAACAGAGATCATCGTGGATGTATCATGAGTTCCTTTAGAGGGCTGCAGAGTTCAGCTGCTGTAACCCACATCAGCGCCGCTTTGGCCCCGGTTCCTCTTGGCCAAAATGCCTGGAGTGACCCAATACACCCCCAGATCACAGCGGGCTGCCGCCATGTTGCTGCTCTCGTACAATCCGTGTACCCTGCTGATAAATCCTCTTTTCCGTCACGTGACGGGCCTGCGAGAATACCGCCCCCCAGAGCTTTCAGCCTCCCAAATGGGGGCCAGGCCCAGGGCTGATCAACGGCGGATTGAGGGTGCTGCCAATGCTGCGCACTCCTTTGCACTTGTGGAAATGTTTCTATAGCGACACCCTGCTGGCGTGAGGTCCCTTTCTCGCCCTCCCCTCCTGACCCTAACCCTCAGGATAAAGGCACTGCAGCCCAGGGTGAGCAGGGATGTGCATCGTCATGAGTGCTTAGGGCATTCAGTGTGGCTTGGCGGCACGGGTTCAGATCTGCTACGTTCCTTCGGGAGGAGTGTGAGAGCTCAGCCTGGTTCAGAGCCCCTTTGCGCCACCACCCCCACGAAGAGTTCAGAGATTGAAACAAGTGGCTCTTGTTTGTCGCGGTGGGTGTGATCTGAACTCGGGGGGCATTCTCTTTCTTTGGATGGGGACAAGTCGCAGGATAAATCCGAATCAATTCCATTGAAGTCATGGAGCATGTAGAACTGAGGGGACAGGAGACCGCTGTCTCCGCTTTGCTTTGAAGATTGGTATTGTGAACTCCCTCTGAAGGCCTCTGTGTGTTAAAATGGTGTCCAGTTTTCCAGGTCACTGCAAAACCATGCTCCCCTTAGCTGCTGTAATTGGTTATTGATGGACACCTCTCTCCTGTGGCGGAACTTGTTACCTCCTTTTGCTAAGTGTGTAGTTCTGTGTACGAGACACCGATGGTTTTGGTCAGGGAGCGGGGAGGGTTCTTGTGTCTCGGGCTCACAGCTGGTTAAGAAGTGTCAGTCCAACAGAAGCTCTCTGAGGAAATCTTTGCGCCTGCACAGTTGTTACTTGCAAGTAAAAGGATTGAGTGGAGCAGAGCTGGGGGTGGGAGGGGGGGTGGGGAATGTGTACAGAAAAGGGATGGAGGCTTAAAGATGCAGTTTTAAAGGCTGTGGTTAGGATTGTCTTGATGGAGCTAACAAAATAAAGCAGAAAAAGTGCTCAGATTTTCCTGTTTCTCTCTAACATTTGCCACCATTTCTGGCTAGCAGTTTATGACAGCCAACCAGAGATATACATACATACATACATACATACATACATACATACATACACACACACACACACACACACACACACACACACACACACACACACACACCTGCCATTTCTCCTCACCCATGACATTGCTTTATCATTGCAGTGGCTTGCGTCAAAGCTGGACTGTCGTTGCCTTGCCTCTTGCGCATGCGGCATTTCGGCAGGCGCACAGGGAAAAAACAGCTTTGTGCCTTTTTGTGCTTCGTGGTCCAAGATTTCCAAATGTGGGTGTCTAAAGTGAGGCTTCTAAGCCCATTTTTAGGCAGCTAAAATGAAAGGGGCCTGGTTTTTCAGAAGGGCAGGGCAGCCATCCTCTCGCTGTGTTGAGTGGGAGCCGCTGGGTGCTGAGGGCTTTCACTCTGGACATAGGAGCCTGACGTGAGATACCCATTTCTGAACAGCTTGGCCACAAAGTGTTTTAAAAGGCAATAGAAAAGGCCTGAGGTGTTGGGATTTTTCCTGCTTTGTCCACCCTTTCTTCCTGGGAGGTTCCCAGACAATCGGAAAGCAAGCAGGTTTCAGATATTGGAGGCATCGTCACCACGAAATGAGGCTTGCTGGATGGTGGAAGTGATTTGTATTCGTGTTTGGTTTTGCTAACCCTTGTTTATATCAAACGCCCAACAAACGCTTGGAAGAAGAGAACTCTTAGTTAAAGAATTGTCCTTAATTGAAGTGGCCAGGGCATCAAGACCGTCCCTGAACCACTTCTTTGGATCGTCCCAGCAAAACTAGGGCAAAACCTGATTGCCATTCCGGATGTTTCAAATAAAACACAAACAGCAGGAGAAATAAACATTTCATGTCTCCTTTGTCTATCATAAGGAAGCCCAAAAAAAGGCACAAACTGAGCTGTAGGCACCATAGACAATATCCTTCTTCCCCTCCCTTTAAAATGAATTCTCGTAAATATTTAAATTCCTCGCACTGACACTGCGCCAAACCCTAGCATGTATTTCAGACATTCGGCGTGATCGCTATAAACAGACACTCTCTGACCAGCATCTGAAGAACCTTTGTGCAATTCATGAAGGAGAGGAATTGTCTAACTGAGCTTGAGTGGGGGTGGGAAATATTAATGGGGGGGGAGGGCATTTCCTGTGTGTGTGTTACAATGTTTTGGCTTAAAATGATCATGTTTTCCCTTCTGTTCTCAATGCTTTGTGATTTAAAAAAAAAATAGAAAATACTGAAAGGTAACAATGGTGAGGAGTGTGAAATACCTGTGTAAATGGCCACCTTTTTAACTGAGGTTTATTTCTACCTATTTAAAGATTGTGTTATTGGTAAATTATATTACGGGTTTTGAGATAAAGCCACCACCACCATACTTGGGCTGAAGGAGCTTTCAGCAACAGGGTCATTACCATTCGCCAATTTGGGAAGAGGCAGAGTCTCATCTGTCCAAACAAAATGAGGGTTAAGTTGCTTTATTTTTCAAAACTGACACAGGGAAGCAAAAGGAAGATCCTTTTTTAAACTGCAGTTTACAAGTTCTTCTATCCCATTTGCTTCTAACCACTTGGCTACATAGGCAGCTTCAGCTTTTGGTCTTGTTATGGATACTGTCTGGTGAGGCAAGAATTTGCCTGGTGTCTTTGCTCAGTGTGGGGCCATGGGACAGTGGGCATCACATTTTCAAGCATATAACCAACATTCTTAGGGGTTTTTTTTAAGTGTTCTGCTTTACTTTAGATAATATTCTCCCAAAAGAACTCTTGATTTCCCGGCTGTTTCTTTCTCTGCAACAAAGAACTGCATATAGTTTTCCTTTTAATCTCCGTGGGCAATCTTAGTAGTATGTAGATTAAGCCCAACGACTTTTTTGGTCTGAGCCATAGCTAAATTATTATATCCAGTGCTTTTATACCAGACAGCATCACTTGGGATATGCAGATGAGGTATAGGATCTTGACACTTTATAACCTTTTTTAAAAGAAAAGTCTGTTTACTTATGTCTTGTGTAAAATCGTATGCCTTTTAGTAATCACTTTTTTGAGTTTTATGAAATTCCTAAAGTGGATTAAGGGGGTTTTGCCTCCGGCAACAACAGCAAAATAAAAATAAAGGGTTCACTGTTTTGTACATTGTGTTGTGGACTTTTCTTCAGTGTTCACTGTAGTGCTTTTGCAGATCACGTGCTCTGCGTTACGTTAGGCACGGCTTGTGTGGGGGCGGGGGAGTGCTTAGGGGACGTCTACGCGGCAGCAAGTCTCAGAACCCGGCTCGACGGACTCAGGCTCACAGGGCTCAGGCTACTGCATTAAAAATCGCTGGGTAGTCCTGCCTCGGGCTGGAGCTTTGGCTCTGAAGCCTAGGGAGAGGGTGAGCTTCAGAGCCTGAAGTCTAAATCAGTGTTCCCTCTCATGTGTCCCATGCATGTGCGGAATGAGTTTTGTTATGTGCACCAATATGGAGGTGATATGTGACACATCACCTCCATATTAGTGCGCACAACAAAATGCATGGGGTGGGGGTGGGGCTGAAGGGTTTGGAGTGTGGGAAGGGGGCTCAGGGCTGGGACAGGGGTGGGGGGTGTGGGCTCTGGGGTGGGGCCAGGGATGAGGGGTTGGGATGCAGGCTGCCCCAGGGCTATGGCGGGGGAGAGAGGACTCCTCAGCTCGCTCTCCCGGCAGTAGCACCTGGCCTGGGTGGGGAGAGGCGCCTCTCCCTACCACAGCAGCTCTGGGGTTGGGGCCACAGGAGAGGCACCTCTCCCCCGGCCGCGGCAGGTCTGAGCCGGGGCTGGGTTGGGACCACGGGAGGGGTACCTCTCCCCGCCGCAGCCCTGAGCGCCGACGCTGTGCTTAATAGGCTGCTGCGCAGCTGTGTGGCCGCACAGCTTAGAGGGAATGTAGGTCTACATAGCACAGAAACCCAGGTCTACATAGCACAGAAACCCAGGTCTACATAGCACAGTAACCCAAGTCTGTTGACTCGGGCTCTGAGATTCGCTACTTCTCATTGTGTAGACATACCCTTAGGAGCCCCAGGTGAGATCAGGGCTCCATCCTACTAGGTGCTGGAGAAACACTTATTAAAAATTAGTCCCTACCCCAAATAGACAAGGGAGGAGGGACAAAGAGGCCCAGAGAGGAGAAGCGACTTGCCCAGATCACACTGCAGGTCAGTAGCAGAAGCAGGAATCGAATCCAGGTCTCCCAGTTGAGTGCTTTTTGGCCTGGCCTAGAAGGCCCCACCCCACCTCCATCTCTCTCATTTCTTACCACCGACCCCTCCTTTATGGTGATCAAGCCTGGCTTTCTATGTCCTTTGTCTCGGTGGCAGACAGCAAAGAACTGGTAAGTTATTGTCTGCATGTTGGAATCTTCCTGAAACTTGCTGTAAGGCCCGATGAGAAGAAACTAAGGGATGTCCATACGGGCAGTCTTCCCCTCCCACCCCACCCTCCCCCTCCAAGGAACGTGGATGAGAAGGAAGGAGTACCGACATGCCTCCAGAACTGTGGAGTGGAGAAAGTACACCTGGAGACCCATTGCAGGGCACATGTTGATCTAGCTTGATTTTTAGTAAGCCCTTTGACACAGTCCCACGTGGCATTCTCATACGCAAACAAAAGGAAATGTGGTCTAGAGGAAATTGCTGTAAGATGGGTGCACAATTAGTTGAAAAAAATTTACTCCGAGTAGTTCTTGATGGTACTACACTTGGGAAGGGAAATCAAATAACATCAGAACGGCCATACTGGATCAGACCAATGGTCCATCTAGTCCAATATCCTGTCTCTGACAGTGGCCAGTGCCATATACTTCAGAAGGAATGAACAGAACAGGGCAATTATCGAATGATCCATCCTCTGTCATCCAGTCCCAGCTCCCTGTAGTCCGTTTCAGGGACACTTAGAGCATGGTGTTGCATCTGTGACTATCTTGGTTAATACCCATTGATGGACCTGTCTTCCATGAACTTATCCAATTCTTCCATGTAAGACATGGGAGGTAATTGTCCCACCCAGCACTGGTGATACCTCAGCTGTGTCCAATTCTGGGTGTCTCATTTTAAGAAAGATGTGGGGAAAATGGAAAGAGTCCAGAGGAGAACCGGGAGTCTAGGCTGGCCCTCTGGAACATAAATAAGATCCTTGTGATAGATGAAGCCATCCTGCAGCCTGAATTTGGAACTGGATGGAGCATCCGTGTTTTCCAGGGTCTGGCAGATCTGGGTCTTGAAGGAATCATGAGGCAGTATGATGGACAACATTAGATCGCTGTCAACTTGACGCATTGACAAAGTTGGACGCCTTAAGCACTGTGGAGGGAAGTTCCTCATCAGGCTCAAGGTGCTCCTTTTTGCTGGACAGGGCATCCACTTTCCCATTTCTAGCCCCCAGTTGAGGGGTTACAACAAGGTCAAATCGGGAATAAAAGAGAGACTAGTGGATCTAATGTTGATTGAGGTGCCTGGCCTTCCTGATCTACTTTCGGTTTTTATGGTCTCTGGCAACCTAGACTAGGAACTGAGATCCCACCAGGAGGTGACAGGATTGTAACCTTATCAAGCACTGCTTTGATTGCTAATAACTCCTTGTCCCAGATGTTATCATTCTTTTCTTCCAGGGGTCAGTTTAGTGGGAGTTAAAGCTGATTATGGGAGCCGACCATCGGGGACAACACCACACATATGGCAAAGTTTGATGCGTCGGCTTCCACTGTAAGTGGTCTGGCGAGATCTGGGCAGATAAGGATGGGCACTGTGGTGAATGCCTGCTTCAGTTGATCAAAGGCAGACTGTGAGCATCCAAGGACCAGACAAACCA